ACACACACACACACACACACACCACAGCATACCATCCCACACCTCTTCAAATGACAGCTAAGTGACAGTGTGACGCCAGCCACTTGATGGGGAATGATGAGAGCTGGAAACAAATGAAAATAAAACATCTAATTATGTCAGAGGCGCCTTGACGTTACATCACTGTTAAAACACATTTAAAATAACATTCAGCAAGCCTCGCACTGACACACATAGAAACCCGCGCACACAGCAGGCACCCGTGACGGATGGAGGGCTCTCCTGCAAGCACTCAGTCAGGCTGTCAGGCCACTGGCTGCTGCTGCTTCTGTCATTGACTTAAAAGGGCATCAAGGAGCCATGTGTGGGACATTACTGAGGCCGAGGGGAAACTGCTGGGCTGCGGCATAAAGACACTTTCAAAGAAACTGACTTGGGCTCCTATCGAGGGGCTATTATTCAAGACAATATCCTCCCACTGCACCATCTGTCCATCCAAAGTTTTTAGCAAGTTAAAGAAGAAAACCACACAATTCAAAGCAGTCCTAAAGTATTCTTTACTGTATGTACAGAAATGAAATGGAAGGATGGAATCAGAGGGGAAATGCACAATTAAAGTAATCATTCACCTCAGTGCAAAGACTCACTGGCTGGTTTCATCGCTTCTAATCAAGCGATTCACTTTGTAGTGGAATAAGAAAGCGGCTAAATTACTGATTATTGATTGGTTATTGGTTAGCTATAAAAAGTAGTTTCCAGGTGAGGTTAGAAAAGATCTTCTGAATTGCCAGTTGAATCAGTGTTGTATCCAAAAGCTGTCGATAAATAACAGATTTTTAAAGAAATGGGAACCTTCTAATTCCTAATGCTTCTCTTTTTGGATCAAAGGTTGGATACCTATATGAAAGGACAGAGAATCATAAGTGGGTTTTTCCTGCTTTTTATTTTTCTGAGGCAGCTGCAGCTCAGGCATTAAAGCAGGTTTTCCACTAATCGGAAGGTCAGGGTTTGATCCAATTATCGAAGAAAAAAAGCCTGTGGTGTAAAGAGCTTTCAGCGGTCAATAAGACAAGAAAAGTGCTACATAAATGCAGTCCATTTTGCATCACTGAAAAAAACCCATACACACAGGATTGGTGTAAAGCAAGGAAAAAAAACAAAAATACTCTCGACGATCAGATGGACTTGATGAACACACACTCATTGACCAGCTGGATTTGAGGAAGACACACTTGGCGACCAGATGGATTTTTGGGGAAATACACATGACAACCAGTTGGATTTGAGAACTACACACTACCTTAATTTCCACAACATTCGAGCATCCAAGTCTGGAGGATGGCACAAAACAAAACAAACACAAAAATTCAAACATCCCCGTGCTGTTTTGCTCGTCCCTTTGGCTATTAATTGGCCGATACAATATCATATAACAGTGACAGTCCTATCGGGTTCAGAAGGTGTGTTTAACCATCTAGCAAGTGTCTGCAAGAGCGCCAAGAACTAGTTCTCGACTTTCCCTGGATGTTGAAAATCAGTACAGATGGACAAGCTGAGGCTATTACCGGCCAAAAACTTGCATATATTTATTCCAAACAAAGCTGTGAAGATTCATAATTAATGTGAGAATTTCACAGTTCACATAAACTTCATTTTGTTGAATAGCAGATAGCAGCTATAGAGGAATGAAAAAGTACATTTTGTCTGATCCAACCATAGCCTTTCTTGATAAATAACCCTTTGTCCCAGACTCATAAAAGCACTGATTGCCTGTATATACATATAAAAAAAAAAAAGCTAATCCCATGAATTTTGCACTTCAGAGTGTGTCAGTCAGTGTGTTTATGGAGGAGCAGCAGCAGTAATGGTTCACAGTGGAGGTTGCTAACTCTGTCTCACCCGTGTGCGTCCTGTAGTGGTCCTTCATGGCTGACAGGTTGAGGAAGGCGTAGTGGCAGGATGGCCAGGCACACTTATATGGTTTCTCTCCACTGTGCAGTTTCATGTGGTTGTTGAGGGCCCATTTTTCGCTGAAGGAGCGCTCGCACAACTCACATTCAAACTTCCTGCAAGAGAATAAGATGGGGCAGGTAGGAACGAAGAGGAGGAGAAGGAGGGGGTGAGGGGGAGAAACAAAGGGTTATTTACTGATCCCGAAGCTGACGCAAAACGCTAGAAAAATCCACCCTGTGAGAGAGGAAATGGAGGTTGCTGGGTAGTTGCACTCACAACCACGGACCAGAGGGCCATATGATTGTACGCTGTACATCTACGCCCACACTCGTGCACACACACACACTCAACGCACACAGAATGCAGCTGGCTGCTGGTGTGTCATGTCTGTATAAGCAGGCATTGATTTTTCTGTCCTGGCCTGCCACCTCCACCATTTATTCTCTGCTTTGCACCAGGGCCCAAAGGACTAGAGAAATTCTGTTACAGTCCACACACACATACACACACACACACACACACCCTGCAGGGCCAGTGGGGAGAATAGAGTTCACCTGTCCAGTGTCCCTGACCACTTAGCCAGGGCTAAATGAACAGTTAGCAACATTTTACCTCCCGCTTCATTCTCTCGAGGCCCTTGTATTAGAGCTTCCCTCCACCCAAACTAATCGTCTTTTTTTGTTTTGCTTTGTTTTTAACTAACCGCTCACATCATCAACATCAGCGCTCTCACCTAGCTTTAGATTATCAGTATCAATCCAATGAATGTAAAGCACGATGTAGCGTTTGTTGAGGTATTTTGTTATAAAAGCCCCCGCTATGCGAATCAGGGCAAAACTGTGAATATGCATGTCATTCTGTCTTCGCTCTGGACATCTGTCTATTTTCGCACCCACGCCTACGACCGACAAAAGCTGCATGTTCGCTCTCTGTCTTTTTAAAAATATATATTTATTTATTTTAATTCAGTGTGTAGGATGTTTGCACCTATAGTCATCTGCTGTGTTATTAAGCTTCACGAATAAAACACAAAGAACTAAGGGGAAAAAAAACAATAGAAAAAGCGCGCGCTTGAATTAATCTTTACCCCCGCGCTATAATTTAGCTGCAGAATGACTAATGTGCGAGTCATAAACAAATGAAGTCGGGTTTTGGGGAGCATTCGTCTTGCAGCGAGGGCCATGTTATTTTAGGGAGGGCGGCTGTCTTTAAGTCCTGATTGTGTCGCTTAATCCCCGTGGTATCTGTTTCATAGCGAGCAGCATGACACTCACCTGAACAAATAATGACTCCGAGCAGCATGTAGCATGTGTCTGAATCAATAATTCAAACTCATACATCTTCCTTACTGGAAAGGGGGTTGTTGTTGGTGGTGGTGGGGGGCAAAGGAGAAAGAAAAGGAGGCAGGGAAAAAGGAGAAAGGAGGGAATTAAAGCTGGGGTGGTGGAGGAGAGGAGAGAAGGGAATGGTGTTGGGGGGGTCCTGGCTTCCGCATCAATCTATATGTTCCATAAAGATGAGTCAAAATGTGATATGGGTGTCAACCTGCACCGGTTCAGACTAACCTCACGTTACCAGACAGGATGGAGGAGATTTAAAATGGCACCTTCATCACCTGGCTGTAAGTGCAAGTGCATTTATAAATAGTTCCATTTTCCTCTTGTTCTCATCAACGGACTTGGCAGGCATTTTATTTGACCAACAGATGGATGTCTGCATCTGCATTTCCTTCCCTTTCCTTCCTCTCTGCGGTATTTATAGAACAGCTCGTCGCCTGTGCCACCACGGGAGAGGTAAATAAGATGAGTGAAGAGATGCTATCTTTTATTGTAAGCATTATGCACAACACTCCTGCTTTATGAGCTAAACGGGCCATTGTTTATCACAGGGCGTAATCGCAAAGTCAGGCAGGCAGGCAGGCAGGCAGGCCTTTACGTGGGAACGAGGCATGCTGGGATGGAGGTAAAAAGAGAGAAAAGGAAGAGGAGAGGAGAGAAGATGGAGGAGTCAGTGCTGGCAGAGTTGACTATCAGTGGGGGTTTTGTAAGGATGAGAGGAGGGTTTGCGTCTGTTTTTATGGGATCAGATGGAGCGCTTTGATCTTGTCCCCGCATGTCAGATCCCGTCACGATCCACCATCTCGCCCATACATATGCATACTGCCTCTAAACAGCTAGGCACCATGCAAAAGAACCACGGTGAAGGGAAGAGAGATAGAGAGACAGAGAAGCGGTTTGGTGAATGGGTTTGTGTATGCATGCGTGCGAAAGAGCAGGGAAGGCGAATATGGGGAGAAAGAAGAAAGGCAAAGATGGAGGTTTGGAAATGAAAAATATTTGGAAACTTTTTATAGGGGAGGAAAGACACTAAACAAATATGTGCCAATTCAGTGTCAACAAAACCCAACAGAGTTCTCAAACTATTTTAAGAAGGACTTATTGGGCGGGGATTGTGTGGCTTCAGGAAATGACCTGTTTTGCTTTCAAACCTCCACGTTTATCACTCCTTAACGGGGACCCTTCATGCTCACTTCCTACTCCATTTTTTTTTATTCTTGTACTTTGAAAGAGCAGCTTTATGTGATTAATGGTTCAAAATAATCCTTTTTTCTCTCATACCAGACCTCAGTTCATCAACTACGCAACATAAATTATTTTTGCTGCTCTTGCTTTAAGGCTACTTTCTTCTGATTGGCTACCTTTTGCAAATGGAAGGTTTGAACAGGTGGGTGGAGCTTCTCTGATGACAGCCAGAACTGTACACCTAAAGCGACTGCATTAAGGATATGCGTTCTCAGTGCCCTTGACTCATGAGGATAACGCACATATACACTGACCACTCTAACAATGTAATATCGTATAAGTCAGAAATGAACGAAAATAACCTAAATGTAGGACGGGCACAGTGATGACATTTTTTGCAGAATACTGTCTCACAAATAATTACAATAAAGTAAAATAAAAATTAAAATTAAAATTAAATTAATTAGATTCTGCTTCTGCTACCAAAAAATCGGGGTTAGACAGAGTTTTACACATAGATCCTCCTTGTATTTAATATAAAATCAAATACACTGCCTGCTGTTACGACCCCTCATGACAAAGGAGCAGACAAAAGTAGTTGCACTGGAACTTTTAGTTGCTAACACTTTCAAATAAAGTTCACCTTCATGGTCTTTTCGCGCTACTTCAACTAAAATCCAAAACTGTCCCACACTCGAGCTGTGAACTCCAAAAATCCATTTGGACTGGAATCTTCCAGTACTTAGCTGGTTCACTAGTTCACTAGTGTGTCCTTGTGTGCAGAGGAACACATGCAAAAAAATCTCAATACAAAGCAAACAAGTGGACAAAACCAGCCTGACGAGAAATGACAAAAACATGTCGCAGCATATTTGTTTTCCTCTTAGCTCAGGCCCATAATTTTACCATTTATTTTGTCAAGAATTCAGCTGACATTCTTATGTAAACAAAAACACATAAAAGCACAACACGCAACTCCGAGGCCAGAAGGAATTATCATTTTTGTCAGCGTATGTGCGCAAGTAGGGCGATCGTGGCTCAAGAGTTGGGAGTTCGCCTTGTAATCGGAAGGTTGCAAGACACTTCACCCGTTGCCTACTGGTGGTGGTCAGAGGGCCCGGTGGCGCCAGTGTTCGGCAGCCTCGCCTGTCAGTGCGCCCCAGGGTGGCTGCCATCATCAGTGTGTGAATGTGAGTGTGAATGGGTGGATGACTGGATATGTAAAGCGCTTTGGGGTCCTTAGGGACTAGTAAAGCGCTATATAAATACAGGCCGTTTACCATATAATCCATCCATCTGAGCTCATGTACAGGTTTGTTTGTGATTGTGCCACTTGTGTTTCCAATCTATGTTAACTACTCATCAGGTATATTAATGTATAGATTATATTTGTTCAGTTCTAATCTTAGTGGCAAATACGTATTAAAGTCATCTTTGGATCAAAATAGGCTTGGTCCTCTTTATTCACTTACACTAAATTAATGATTATTCACTTAATCACTTGGAAGAGAATTAAATATCTATATCTATATAGATGAATAGGGTACAGCTTTCATTTTTACATATGACGTTCACAACGAGGTGGTTTTCGAGAGGTTGGATTTATTGGCTTATGCTTTGTTCTTAGCACCACTTCACAGATCTCAAGTATTTCCCCCCGAAAAATAAAAAAAGATGCTGATCCACTTCTTGGTACAATCTCTTCTTTCTGTTCTGGTATGTTATTTGTTGTATATCTGTCATTTAGCGTGGCGTTACTCATCCAGACTACATCTAGGAAACGTGGAGGGAGCAGCTGTGATTGGCACATGCAGGCACGGGATCGGGAGCTGATTTAGGGGGTGTTTGATTTGGATTTTCTTTTTGCTTTGCTTTCTGTTGGCTGAGCATGCATTCTCAATATCTTTCAATTGCACTCAATTATGGGAAGCCAAAATCATGTCTAAAAACTGCATTACAATTTCCAGCATTGAAAAAAAAAGGTTTGTTAGTAGATAACAAGTATTCTTGAATCTGAAAAACAATTTGGCACTCTATATGTTTGGTCTTCTTGGTTTTAAATGACCACACACAGAAAAGGATAAAGCCAACAGATGACTGTTTTAACTGTGAAGATACATTCGAATATAAAAAGAGACAGAGACAGAGAAACCCATTAGTTAATTTTTTCCCTTCTTGTTTTGCATGTTTTATTTTCATACTACTGTCAAGCACTGATTAGCTAAGGCCACAGAAGGCAAAAAACCCATCTGTAATCTGAAGCAACTTCTACTTCTACTCGTTATATCACTGCCTTTCAGCCTCTTGCGTGTCTCCATCTCCTCCTCATGTTTTTCCTGCTCTCTTCCTTTTTCCCTTCTGATCACAAACCAACACGACATGATTGACACCATGTGTGGATTTATTCAGAGATGCAGGTGACTCTCCTCCCTCCTCATTCAGCAAACTGCATGCTACTGTGTCTATACTGTCACCGATTACCATATCTATACTGTAATGTGATCCTGCTGTCAGTTCAGCCATATAGAGCTACTGTCAGAACATCACAGGCCACACTGGCCTTAATTGAGACAGAAATCCCTCAGGAGGAG